CTGACCAATTGATTAACTTAATTAATTAATTAATGAAAGACCTACTGACTGACTAAATGACTAAGTGATTGACCGATTGAATTTCGTTTATAACTGGGTTTTGAGACTACAAAAAATAATATATTTATATTTATATGAGATGTATACATTCTTTTCGTTTAGGGTGATAAGGGGACTGTTATTTTCATTCTCACAAAGCTATGAATAGACCTTACACTTTCATTGGATTTCGCATAACCTCGCTTCTCAAAAGGGAATTCTCATCCATGCGAGGGTGGACTGCAATTTACACCTCTCGTAGGTCTCATCAGAACCATCAGCGAGGTCGCGACTGTAGTCCACTCCTAACTGGATGAGAATACCTTTGGGGCAAGCAAGGCTATGTGAGATTCAATGGAAATGTAAGGTATACACATACAATTGGGGGAAAATGCAACTAGCCTAAACGAATTTGGGCCGATTGAATGAATGGATGTCTGACTGTCTGATTTACTGAGTGAATGAATGAGCGAATGGTTGACTGACTGATTGATTGAATCAATGAATGACCGAACGACGGACTGATTATCTGACTTATGAGCGACTGATTGACGTATGGAATAAATGGGTGTCTTACTCACTGACTGAGGAACTTAATGAATGTGTAACTGAATGACTTACCGATCAAATGCCTAATTATCTGATTGATTGATTAATTGAATCAATGAAGGGCGGACTAAATGAATGAATAAATATGTTAATGAAGTACAATATGATTGATTGGCTGCCTTACTGGATGAATGAATGAATGGATTACTGGCTAACTGATTGAATAAATAAAGGAATAACTAACCAGCAGAGAAATTAAGTGATTGATAAACTTATTGACTGTCTCATTTTTTGAGCGATAAAGTGTTCGTCTGATTGACTAATCGACTAATTGTATGAAGCGTTAATAGAGTGATTGCATTAATGTTTGACTATATTATTCGTTTGATTGAATGATTGACTGATTCGATTGACCGAATAATTGATTGGTTCACTGAAAATGGGAGTACTTTTTGAGAAGCATGGTTAAATGAAATTCAATGTAAATTAGGGCCTACTCATTTCATTGTTAGGAACTTCAACTACAAGCCCTTCATTACATTAACGAAATAAGGTGAATACTTTTGATATATAAGAACTACTTTGTAGTCTCGTAAACTCTCTTATAAATAAAAAATAACTGATTGTTTGACTGGAGTAATGAAAGATTGACTGACTGATCTAATGCATGACTGAATGACAAAATTATTTAATTATCGCCTGAATGACTGAATCGCTAAATGGCTGATGAAGTTACTGACTGAGTGATTAAGTTATTGGCTTATTGACTGACTGATTCATTGAATGATCGAATCCCTGACTGAACGTCTGATTGACTGACAGACTAACAGACTAAATAAAGAACTGAATAACTGATATAATAAACAAGTAATCGATTAAGGGACTGATTAACTTTTTGACTGAATTGGTAAATGACGAATTGATGGTCTGAGTGATCATATTCTTTGTAAGTAGCATCATGTAAAGTGTAGAATTGTGTTAAGACAAAGCAATAGAATGGCAAGTCAGGCATGTACCGCGACAGTGAACAAACGACAATGCGATTTCATACGTTGTCTCCTCCCCACTTTGCTCGACTCACTTGTAGAGTGGTTTTCACGCTCAGACTTGTGTTCTAATGATAATGCATCTGCGGATTTGATATTGTCTCCCAAGGCAACCTGCCAACATGAGTCCACACCACTCGACTCCTTTTTCGACTGTTTTTTTCTGCACTCGAAAACCGAGCAACAGCAATCTGGGCGATCCTTTTTTGTGCTTCCCGTTGACGGTTAATTGCAAAGTCATGCATGTCGTATTGAGGCTGGGTGGCGGAGACGTGACATGATGGGACGAGAGTTCCGGTGAAGAGGGAGGGTCTGTCTGAAGTGAAAGCTATTCAACCAGCATACTTCATGCGAAAACATTGTTTATCCCGAATCCTCGGCTACAGAAGCGGGCAAATCTGGTGACAGACAGCCGCGAGAAGGTGATGCAGAATCGGAAACTGCCAACATGGCGGCGACAACCTGTCGCATCGCGAGGCCATACTCGTTTTCCCGTCTGGCAGCGGTGCTACCAGCCTGTGCCTAAGCCCTCAGGGCCCAGGCTCGAGTCCCGCCGACGTATCTGCTGTGGCGCCAGCAAGACTACTCTCTGCCACACCCTGACAACGGCACACGAAAGAGGTGGGCCTCATAGTAAATGTCGCCCTCTTCACATGCTCTGCAGACAGACGCTGTTATGCGTTTATTTTTTTTCCACTTTCGCTCCTATTCTTGACCAATTTTGGGCTCCCAAATGCGGCAGAATTTGTGTTTATCAGATGCGTTTACCCTATTTCGTTTAAGTTGATGAAGGACTGGCAGTTGAATTTCCTAAAATTGCTTCCTAAGAGCTATTTTTATCCCATATCACATTCTGTGGTGGGAATGTCACTGATGCAAAGTTGTATTTGCTATAACAAGCGACTAACTAACTTATTTTCCATTTGTGATTAGTATTTTGAGACCACCAGTAAATTGGATATTTGATTTACTGGTAGTCTCGAGACCTTATTTACAAACGAAAAGACGTACGGCTCACCAAACGCAACCCCCAAGTTGACCATTCTACGGAATCCGTTAAACAAGACAGGCCAAGCACGCACACAAACACAACGCTGCATCAGAGAAG